ACGGTTTATATGGGGTTATTTGTTTTAGCGTTTAGCGGGCCGTAAAGCGCGAGCGCTCTGGGTCACGTGCGGCTAAAGCTAAACAGAAACATGACCCTGAACATTGTCACAGTCTATAAAGATAATTGGTAACATAACACCAGCTGATAGACGCTCTGCGTCTAATGATTGGTAGATTATGAGGTCAGGGTGATCTTCTGTAGATCATCTGAGGAACGTTACCTTCCACCCAGATCCATCAGATGCACTGATCTTTTTCTTTTTCTCCCCCCATAAACTACATGTTTGAGACAAACTCATATTTTAATCTGACAATTTCTGCATAAACAACAATCCATATATTAAACTCGAAGGTTTAACCACTTAAGCATCAAAAGTAAATGGTGTTACATGGAAACAGCAATAGAATCTATCAGGTATTATATTTATTGTTTTGTCAAACGCTGGAGCGCATTACAGAGACGTTATATCAGGGGTCTAAAGCCTGTGGCCCCGGGGCCAAAAGTGGCTCTTTAGACACTCAATGGCTCATCATCACTGGGCTACAAATGATGAAGAGCTAGCTAATCCTTTAACAATAAATATACCAACAAATGCAGGGTTAAACATTTTCTTCACATTTTGCATTTCATTTCCAAATAAATGGACTCTAATTGTAACAGAAATATATTTCAAAATGTTGTTTATTTTTTTAAGAAAATAAATATCAAAATATAAAGAAATATGAGCAACCTGGTGTAGAGATGAGTTATACACAAGTTAATTCAAGGTGCTTTACGTTAATTAAACAATAACATAAAAAAAAGCTATTTAAAACCAGGATAAAAGGTAGCAGAGCAAATAAAGATGAACCTTAATTAACAACTGAAGTTAAACTAATGACACCTCAGTTAACTGTTTAACCATCAAAGGCAGCTCTAAGAAAATAGTATTTTAACTTCAACTTCAAAGATGGAGAGTTTTATTAGCAGACCTGAAGTCAAAACTCCAATTAAGGGAAACATTTGATTTGATGTTTTTTTACATACTGATATAATCAGCAACCTGTGATGGGAAGAAAAAAAAGGTAATATAAAGCAAGCTGCTCTAAACGAGCTAGAGCGGCTAACTCTGCTCCTAAAACGGCTTCTTGCTAAATGACAGCAGCAGTTATTTAACTTGGGTAGAAACTGTATTATTAGCTGTTATTGGTACAGACTGTTATGAAGAGGACAAACACAAAATGCAGGGTTGCTTTTAAAAGTAGCTGGTATTTGCTTATAGAAGTGTTTTGCATGTCTTTATGTTTTCCAAATTAAAATTCTGATTTGCTTATTTTCCTAAGAATGTAACACATGCACTCATGTCTGCCGTAATAAACTTTCTGACTCAAACCTTATAAGAAAGGATGTTTCAACACAGTTTAAGTGTCAAAACATCCAGGCAGGACATTGAAACTCCATCCTCTCTAAGATTACATCACTCCATCAAAGGAGATCCAAGGTAAACTGAACGCCGTCTTCAGGTCCAACCACAACATATCAACCAGGATGAGGTCTGTCCTCCATCAGCTCAGCCTTGTTGATGTAGAAACTGAACATCTAGGTCTGAAGCAGTGTTTTTCCCACCCTGGTCCTAAGGACCCCCGTCCTGCATGTTTCAGGCTTCTCCACGCAGCCAAACACCTGACCTGAACGAACGGCTGAGCAACAGGTCTGTGAAGCAGTAACGGCATCAATTAATCAGCTATGCTGGAGCAAAGACACACACTAAACACATTTATTCAGCTTTAACTTTTGCTGGTGTGCTCATCTCTGAACAGGAGGAGCTTTTCTCCTGAGAACCTTTCTAAACCAACAATAATTGTTCAGTATTTTTTCTAATTGTACTCTCCTAAACTTTACACATAATAAATAATGAAAGCCAATAAGAGGGACATTTTTTTGCTTTTTTGGAGCAGTTATGGTTGTTGCATAGCCTTAATTCAGTTTGTTACAGATGTAGTGCTTTAATACCAACATATGCCATGAAAAAAAATTATCAGATCAGGAAATCAACTCAAAAATGGAAAAAATCCATCAGTTTTAGCATTCAGCAACAATCCAAGGACAATATACCTGCCCAAGCCAGAAATACAGATTTATACAAAACTGACGCAGACAACATAAGTAAACTATAGCGATTACCCGTTATCTTAAATCACTGATTACCACTAGTTTCATTAAATCTCCTGCCTTTGGAATCACATTTCATACAAAACTATAAATCAATATCGATCAGTTATAGCTGGCAGTAATTCGGCCTTTAGAAAGTAGGGTGCAGACGAGCTGCAAACACATGCATGCTCCACACTGACACAGACACATGCACGCACACAAAAAACAAACAAGTATAAAACATAAAAACGCAGCTAAATAGAAAACCTACTAGAAAAGCAGACCTCCACCAAGCTGCAAATGTTGCCCCAGATTGTGACTTACACCGATAGCTAAAACTCAGACATGATCTGGATCATTACCACCTTTAAAGTCGTATGGAAATGGCTATTCCAATCACTGCATTTCCCAAATATGAGTGAATAAAGTGAATGTGATTGGTCGATTATCAAGGGGGTGGGATTGTTGTGGCGGAAGGTTCGCAAGCAAGTTTGGTTGTCAGAAGCATCTTGCCAACCAGTTAGCAACTTAGTGCTAGTAGGTTCCCAATGGTAAATTCCATTGGGACCAAGTAGCAATAAATTGGTGACTTAGAAATGACACTGTCAAGGAACGCTATGGACAGCGGAAACATGCAAGAGGAGGAGAGTTTAGTGTTGGAGGTCGTAGATAAGTCTCCTCCGTCATCCATGTTTTTATTTAGAGGAGGAAAGCGGGGATGAAGATGTTGTGGAAGAGGACGCCAGGGCGGCAGAAGCTTGGTTTGGTGTAGAAGGCTTCCAGCCGTACATGTTTGAGCCCTTGCCTCGCAACGCTGCCAGTTCTGTTAGCTCTACGCCTGCTGAAGACACAGACGTCCATCCCTGTGAACACTGGGACGGAACTCAATGGGAAAGGAAAGGATTCTGATTTCTTATTTCAACTGTTGCGTATATTAGCTGCGACATATGAATCAAGATGCTATGACTGAAAAAAAAATGTGATTGACAGATGACCGAATTTAGGTGTTCAGGCTGACTTATAACTAACTGGCCTGCATAAGATAACAAACTTTTAGGACAATGTCATCTGATAAAGAGTGCATTTATATAGATGTTTAAGCCAGAATGATTTGATATGTAAATATGATTTCCCTACGACTTTAAATGAACTGTTCCTTGGCATAAGCTGCACCTTTTGTAAAATAATTAAAATCAGTCCATAACTTTTCATCTTATCTTGTATACAGACAGACAAACTCTCCTAAAAACATAAACTCCTTGGCAGAGGTAATAATCCTGCAAGAACATTAAATGCCTAAGAACCAAAATCAATAGTGCTGTAAAAACCAAAACACTTTATTAACTTGCATAATATACTGATTTTCTCCACAGCTGAATATAGTTATATTAATTTCAACATTGTTCTCCGAAAAACTAAAGATGGGAAAACACTTTTTCTACCCAGAGGCTAGAATATTTCTGTTGTTTTTCACAGTGAAAATATTCTTCAGTAGTAAAATGAGGTTTTAGTAAAATGTGCTCTAAAAGTCAGTTAGATAACATTTAGTCTAGATGCTTTAACGACAGAACATTCCTGTGTTCTTTAAAGGTTATTCGTTGACACTTTAAGTGTTTTTACTGAGTTTGGGTCAAAGTTCTTCACAGCTTTCACTGAACCTGTTTAAGGTTTTGGGAATTTAAACCACCATGTGTTCATTTATTCTTTTAAACAGCTGTAAAATGACTGCCTGTCAGCAACTACAGTAAAAACTACCAACATATTCATATTTACAGCCTTTAGGATATTAAAGTCTAACTTCAGGCTCATCAGCTGTTGAGCTGCATAATTAGGCAACACGCGCGCTGTCCTTCAATTCAGGCTCACCGGCTTCCGTTGGAGAACAGAGTCTGTCCTCCCGGCTTTTCATTGATCTGCAGCTGATAGATACAGCCTGAACATTAGGGAAGGGAGTGTTTAAAGCTCTAATCTGATCCATGTGAACCACATGCTTCTGTTGCTCAATGACTTCTCTCTGCTGCCGCGTGCACCAACGTGAGACTAATCAAACCAGCGGACCGCTTACTTTGAAGTCCGCCGTTAGGTCACAATTAACACAAATCAGTTATTCTTTCCTGTTACTACACACAACATAGTATTTATGCATGAAGTATTACCTGTATGTGCTCCTTGAATCCAGAATAACGCGGCTCGTCGCCGGTGTATCTGATAAGTAGGCGCAGGCGCGCGGACCGCCCATTCTCCTTGACACCCATGATGGATTTTAGGTCGCCTCGGAAATTACAGCTCCAATTTATACAATCCTGATAAGCGTTTGGTTAATGAGGATTGTGTTCGGTTTTGAATACTTTAGTTGCATTATTTAAAAAAAAAAATAAAAGTACATAGAGCATAAATAAAAACAAAAAAACATCTCTTTGAGTGATAAATTTAGATTTTGTCTAAATAAACACAAAAACAACAAAAAAACATGATGGTGATTTAAACCGGGTATTGACGTCTTAAATCTTGCTCTTTGCATTCTATAAACCGTTATACATCGTCTCGACAATCATTGTGACCCCAGCTATTAACTGCTTAGAATATTTTGCTTTAAATAATATCTTTACGAGGAACATGAAGGCAACGCAACACGTGCTCTCGTGGCCTTCAATATGAATTTTATTTAACCAGGAGTAGGACAAACCGCGTGACTGTCGCCTTTACGCCACTAAGGAGAGCTGAAGCAGCGAGTTTATGGTTTAGTGTCTAAATGACGTCGGCTAGCAACGGTGGATGAGGGACGTCATCACCATGGTGACTAATTACCCCAGCTGTGGCGGTACATTTAGTGCCAGATGATGCGCAGTAATCTCAGCATCTTACCTGCTCCAGGTTTGCATCCCCAGCATGAGGGGAAGCAGGATATCATCCTCCCAGGAGTCCAGCTAAGCCAGGGAGCGCAGCAGGGACCCGTGTCCCCTGAGCGCGTCAGTGGGAGCGCAGCTTCCCTCGGTCGGTCCCCCAGCCTCTGCAGCTTCCTTCGGTCGGTCCCCAGCCTCTGCCTCCTCCGGCTGGTGACTCACGTCTCAACAAATGGATGCTGACAGCAGCCTGACACCCTGCTGACGACGAGGAGCGCGCGCTGGTCGTGACTCAGCAATAACAAAGGATTTCTTGCATATTAATATTATTTATGTCAAACTCTTCTTTTTTTAGATTCACCATTATCTGGAGATTTTTTTAAATCTGATTTTTATCCAGCCCAGAGGACACTAATGTCCTTTACTTTTATGTTTAAATTACTGCGCTGAAAATATAATGAGTGACCTTCAAAATATTAGGAAAACATCTGATACATGTGTTTGCTTTGATTTATTACACATGCACACTCTAATGGATTGTTTATTAAACAGCTGAATATAAATTAAATAATTTGAATGTGAATCCAGAGTGGAATAAAGGTTCCAACCTCCGGGATCATGAACATATAAAAGCAAATGTAATGAAATAAACCTTAGTCAGTTAAATAACATGCTGCTGCTATTTTCAAATATCCTGTTGGAGCTATTTTTCTTTATTACTTTGTCCATTTGAACTTTGTTATTTTTTCCTAAATGTATATATTTTTTGTATTATTTACAGAGTTTATTTATAGGTTAATTGTTGAATTTGTGTATTTATTTTTTGTTGTTTTATCATTTTTCTTTCTTTATTATGTAAAACAGGAAGAAATGTGAGCAGTCCACTTTCTATAAATATAGGAGCCCGGTAAGGACCAGCAGGCTTTTGGGTTAGGGGCCTATGGTTTTTTATCAGTGCAAGAGAGGTGACAGAGCAAGGGAATGTTTTAAGTCTGTAATGTTGCTAAAATATAGGAAATAAATCAAATGAACATCTACAAGTTTGGACTTCAACTTCTTTTGCCTGCGTCAAGAAAACGTGACCCAAGTGCCTAAGCAGTGGCTTAATAGAACTTTATTGGATGTTTGGTGTGACAAACAATTGCCATTACATATCCATTACTGTAAAAATGTCCATAGCTGTAAATTGGTTATTTATTCTGCAGGTGCACAGTTTGATATTGTTTAAACACTTTGCAGTATTTTATTGTTTTATCTTTTAACTCTTCCCTATTATGTTGTTATTCTTATACGTTTCTAAGGTCCACATTTGTGTGACCATTTTCAATAATCTTTCTGCTGCTTGTACATTTACCCATTGTGGGGCAATAAAGAGATTTTCTATTCTGTTATATTCTATAAAAGGGGTAGAAAGATAGAAGTAAATCTAAACAATGTATGTATAAATCTATATCTGTAAAATCTCTAATATTTAACAGCAAAAAATACTTAGTTAAGCAAATTGTGCAAAACAGCAATAAAAAAATAAACATCCTATCAGATTTATAGTCCCCACACTGCAGATCTATTAGAATCTGTCCTTAAATTACAGCCAAACCCATTTACACAGTACCAGATAACCTTTATATAAACCAAACATTACCGCCACATATCTGACTCAATAAACATTAAAACAACTATTTTCATTCATTTCAGACGGAACTATTCACAGACTGGATTATATATAACTCCCAATATTCACCACTGTTTGGTGCCAAGTAACCTTTCCTCTGATCACAGAGCAACTGGCTTGCTTGGTCTCGCAATGAATCCTGGGATATCATAGAATAGCGAGGATACATTTGACCGATCCTTCAGATCAGGCAAAAAGAAGGACCCATTTATAGGTCTCATATCGAGGAGTCTTGGAATCTGACCAGACCTCGGCAACACGCTATGACATAATCGGCCAACAAATCTGGCCTTCGGAGGACGCAGCCCATGAATTCGAACAGAGCCTTGGTCTCCTTTTCCCTAGCTACCTTCTAGAGTCCTCTCTTCACACCTGCTCCCAATCAGCTCATTAGTCCTGTCCATAGGCGGATCTACTGGGGTGGCATAGGGTGGCAAATGCCACCCTAAAAGACAGCCTTGCCACCCCTGCTGCCACCCCAGATGGTGGTAGGCGTGGCGAGGCTTATAAATTATGGCTAATCTGACAATTACTGACTGCTAATCCTCAATGTCGGACTGCGGTGAATGCAGCACGAGACACCAGAGCGGCATCAGAGACAATCAGAGACTGATTTGTTTTGAAAACCGAGTGTCGCAAAGCGAGGGAGCCTTGGGTCGTGTAGAAAGGAGACACGGGATGAAACAGTTAAAGACACTCATAAAGACATATTTGCAATCAACTATGACACAAAAGAGACTATCAGGTTTTCAACATGGATATCGCAGCATTGAGCTGTTACAGGCATGGTAATGTCATGTTATGCTCTCTGGTGAGCCTTTACAAAGTTGTTACATCTTTGTTTTGGCAACTGAGAAAATGTATTACCTTTAATAAAACCAAAAGTGTGAGAAACAAAGTTACAAATGTGATACTGGTGTAAATCCTGCTCAATATGAAAAAGTGTTATTGTTGTTTTTTTTTTTTTTTTTCATAGTATGAAACCATCCAGAAACGACCTGTATGAACCTACTCACAAAATGTTTTGTACTTTTTCAGACTGGGAGCAAAATGTATTTTTATGTTGCTTCTTTACAGGTTTGTGGAGATTTTTATGTAACATACAGTACATCACCTGCCTTTTTGTTGATTGTTGATACTCTACAGCATTGATGCTCTATCTAAAGCATGAAATGTCCCTTTCATGTCGCCTTAACTGCTGTGAATATTGTGCATACTACTGTTTATCTCATCAATTTTTTCAGTAAAAACCTCATCTGTCAAAAAAATGTCGTTACTGAGGAACAAATGGGGTGAATGTGTGTTCTGAGTAAACAATAAAAGCGATGTCCGGTACCTTGTTTGGGTGCCTTGACCCATTTATTTCTACTGTGTAGTAATGCTCACTTTAGTACGTCTCAGTCCATAGATCTCTGATGGGGAACTTTTTCTTTCTATAGTTTCTTTTTGTGCAAATGCTGCAGTGTGCCTCTCTGACAGTCAATCTCACACATCTGCGACTCAGCATGTGTGTCTTACCTTAATGCCCCAACTTAAGTAATGTTATCATACTTCTATTTCCTATTAAGTGAGATCACATTGTATGATATATTCCTAATATGAAATGTTTCACATGAAACATGTACTTTACATACTATTTCTCACCAAACTGTGATAACTGTGATTAAATAAAGTATAAACAACTGCCTTAAGCTGCCAGCCTTCAAAAATTCCTGCCCCCCTCTCGCCACCCCATAAATAGTTTTCTAAATCCGCCCTTGGTCCTGTCTTTCTTCAGTCTCCCATATATACTCTCCTTGTGCAGTTCCTCAGTGCTGGTCCCCCGTCTTTCCTCGTGCATGTTTTCCCTGATCTCTCCATGGTTCTGGTTAGTTTTTGCATTTTTATGTTGGATTTCCTGCCTCAGTTTCCTGTAAGAACTCCATTAAAACCATAAGAACTCACCTCTGCCTCCTTTCCTCTGCATTTGGTTGCTCAAAACCTCAACTAAACCCTGACCATTCAATGATTAAATGAACTAAGTCGTGACTGTGGATAAACTCTCCCAGTAAAACAGAAAACACACCAAGCTTCATAGACAGACCAATCCTTAAACACATTGTTTCAACTTCCACCCAAAATAGAGACACAATGTGACCATAGCAAAACACCTGCAGGGTGGGTTCAGACTCCTGACAACACAAACGGCAACCATCTGACTGTCATATTGCATAGCTTTATCATTTTTCCAGTGGGTAAGAAATTAAACATGATTTTAATTTGAAAATAAAGATTTTGCACATCAACAGTAGTTTTATAGGTTAATTTGAATATTTTATCCCACATCCTTCCTCTGATTTACACTAGCTGCTGCAGATCAACCTGCTCACATCCAAACTGGTTCTCACTTCCAACCTTGAAGATAAAAAATAGTAACTTTCCATCTGATCCCGCCCCCGCGGACAGGCGCCACAGTAAAGTTACTAACTCCAGTAGACAAAATGTTGTGTCTAAGAAAGGTTGGTTTACACCTGATGTAGAATCCTATCAGGAAATGAACCGCCTGTCACATCTGCAGCTTTTCCCCCCATTGTGGCTGATCCTGTAGAGGACCAACGGTAAGCTAACAACAGCACACTGAAAGTAGAAAACAGCCGTTTGCAACCCTTTCAAGGCCTCTTCATCACTGGTGATTCCAGTCATCTGTAAAATGGCTCCTGGTCCTGGCTCTGAAGAAAATACTAAAAAAACTGGAAACAAACATGACTGCTAGGTCCCCTGGAGCCATTTCATTATTTTCTTCTGATTTTAAAATGAAAGTGATGGCTTCAGTTGTATTTAGAAAGGATCAGTTTAATGTTATTTTAAACCAAACTAAAGTTATTTTGAAATAAAACTAAAAAAGTTGCAGCTGAATTTACCAGTTTAAGTAAAGCTCTAATACGCTATAGGCTTAGACTGCTGGAGGAA